GCGCTTACCATCGGTCTCAAATCGATGGCTATAACTTGTTTTTTTTAAACATATTTTTGCATAACTACATTTTTTTAACACCAAAAACATCTATAGTTCTAAAGTAATTTAAAATACACATTCCAGTTTTATCCAGTACCACTGTTACTGATCTTCCGCCGTTTCTTCGTATTGCAATCTCCATTCAAATTTTCTTTTTGGCATTCATGTGAAAGATCCGCAGATGTGAACCGTCCCGCGTACACGTAAGGTTCGGCCAAACCAACTGCGGCGATGCTACTGATTTCTACTGATCGCCATCGCTACACGCGTCGGTTTGGCCAAACCTTAAAGAATTGCGTTTTTTTACCCTCGTACCCAATACGTGATATGAATCGCGGGCGTTTTTTGCACACCTCCTCAAAAAGGGCCGGTTAAAAATTGCCGGTCGCTGCAGGGTTAGGTTTGTTTATTTTCGGCATGGCTTTGAATTGAAACGCTTTGATGATCCGCCAAAAAAGTACGATGAAGGGTTAAAATACAAGAATGTAATTTTGTTGAAGGTTATAGAATATGGGCGGAAGGTAAAAGCTTCATGAATAACTAAAGAACCAATATAAAACAAGTTAGTCAGATGATATCTTTATGTCTTTTGCTTAGAAGGACAGAAGGAGGACCTCCGTCCGGCCTTGACAGACTATTTTTGCTTTTTCTAGTGGATTTCAGGTTGTGACCAACACCAATTGAAGAGAACCAACCGAATTAAGAACCTCCTCCTTTTTTTGAAGTCAGTTAAAAATTATGAATGTCTGATACAAGTTGTAATCTAGTTACCTACCCTCGTAAATGTAAAAAACCAAAAAAATACTTTTCTATTGCCAATTTTTGTGGCAAACATGTGATTGGTATCTTTTAATTAAAATGTATGTGTGTATGTCGTTTTTTATTATGTAACTCTACGTGGGTTATTTTTAATTAAAATACACAAGAAAAATCTATATAAATGCAAATTGCACTGAGCTCAAAGTAAAATTAAACTTTGAGGTTTCCACTTTTGTGACTTCTCTCGCGTTGTTTTTGTAAATGCATCGTTAGAACGGGCGCTTTCATGGAGTTTAAAAATAACTGTGTTTTAATATACACAATCTGTTTACTTTGAGTCTTTACAGAGAAAAAATTCAACATTCTAAAGGTTGAATTGAAAAAAAACCTTAAAATGTGTCAATTTTACTGTATGTTTTAGTGAGTAAATGTTATATTGCTCCGAAAAGAACACAGTTGACTATAAATGGTTTTATTAAACGTTTAAGATAAAGGGAAATTACGTAATAACTTAAAAAGTACTCAACGGTGCTTTTGTTCACGAAAGCTAAGGTCAGATCTAAGTATGTTAGATGGCCATAGAGGCTCATAAAGTTTGATACAAAGGTTTTGCCTTTATTTGCTAGATACACGATAGAATAAAAATAAGTACTTTATGGGACGAAACCTAATTAAAACTTAATTAACAGCTAGTAGACTAACAGTAGGCAATTAGCTATAACTTCATTAACACACTCGAGGCGGGCCAGCTATTTAAGAACAAACACATATTCCAACATTAATTACTGTGTACCAAGCGGAATATATTTAGAGAGGAAAATAACCTAATTCAGCTTTCAGGGTTAGAATTATGTAAGACTAGCTTTCCGCCCACGGCTTCGCCCGCGTGAAATTTTATCTGTCACAGAAAAACGTTATCGCACGCGTTCCTGTTTCAAAAACCAGGATAAAAACTATCCTATGTCCTTTCCCGGGACTCAAACTCTATGCTAAATTTTATCAAAACTGGTTCAGTGGTTTAGGACTGAACGCGACACAGACAGACAGACAGAGTTACTTTGGCTTATATTGATAATATTAGTAAGGAGTAAGGATTAATACATACTACGAATTTAGTAGTTTTATATTTCTTAGTTTATTTTACTTTAATATGCTAGCATGTATTTTAGCTTAACAATTATCAAACCTAACGTATTGAAACTTCATTTTTTCATTAAAAGTATGTTTGAGTCACCCATAAACCTTTTCAAAATGTAGGTACCGAAAGTATAGCTGAAAAACGTGTTATTCAGAGTAAATGTTCTCTTTCAAATATTGTTTTCTACAAACTTTACCTAAGAAATGTTAATATGATACTCCTACATAGTCATATTATACATTATTTTAAACACATTTTTTGACTAAACATTATTATAAAAAGGCGACAAATATAAAACAACTTTAGGCTGAGAAATAGTCCACATCAGCCCGTCGTCTGAACTGAGCTTGTGCCGTATAACGCGAATATTTATTACACACATTACGAAAATACCTTTCTTATCTTGTAACCGTGTAAACTCTTGTTTTATATGTATCTGGAACTCTGGACCAAATCTAAAAGTCTAAGGAGCACCACATTTATACCCTAAGAGCAAAGGCACACGATGCGATGCGGCGGCTGTGTGACGACGGAGCCGTGCCGCGACGCATCGTGTGCAATTGGCTCTTCATAAGTCCTTTTGTTCTGTTTTTTATTTTCTTTTTGTGTCAAATAAAGTTTTTTTTTATTCTTATTCCTAATAATTTATTGATTTATCGATGCTTTTTGCGTAGCTGAATAAATATAAAATAACCAAACTTAATTCCAACAGCCAAAAAATTCTTGTTAGGGAAAATACATTAAATTGCATAGGTATATTCTGCAGGGAAAGGATAGGTTTATGGGGCTCACAAAGTCAGAAGTACAAGGCATACCCACTACAAACTGTGGGATTCAGCATATCCCTAGAGATAAAAAGAAGTCATGCAGTTTTAACAAGTAACAAGAAGTTTCGACCGTGTTAAGTGAACAATAGATCAAAAATAGGTTCTCCAGACCATACCATAACATAAAATAACTTTAGTAACTATTCATATTCATTCATCTCAAAGGGCCTGTCATATCCTAGGTTGGTATCACGACAGACTACACATTTTTACTTTAAAGGTCACCTCGTTCCTGTCATAATTTTGATTAATTAATGTATCCAAAATTTATTCCCCCGCAATATTATCCGACCTACATTTTTAATGACTCTGTCGCTAATTACCCGTAGCGCTTCGCGGAAGGTTTTATGTAGTTTAATTTCTATTTACCAAAGGGTTAATTATGTAAAGGAAAGTAATTTTATAAGGAGAAGCAATTACTTATACCAGAATAATTGGAAATGTATCCCGAATACACAGATAAGTCATCTGTTTCTGATTTTTTGAAATCAGTTAAAATGTTTGATGATTTGGCAGTTCTGACAAGAGCTAGACGAGTATAGTAGTTCTACTAATGACTTTGAAACGTCAAGTGATAGAAATTTAAACTAATAAGCCAGTAGATAGAGAGACCTCCTGTCAATGTCATATGTGGGACACTTTAGTATTGTTCAACCCTACGCAGTATTTGTTAGAACTAGGTGAATTCTTCCTACTATCCTACTAATATTATAAAGGCGAAAGTTTGGGTGTCTGGATGTCATGATGTCTGGATGTTTGTTACTCTTTCACGCAAAAACTACTGAATGAATTTTGTTGAAACTTTACAGCATTATTGTTTAACCCAGATTAACATATAGGCTATAATTTATGACGATATGTGACAAATAATTTCAATAAATAAATAAGACGTGTCTAAAAAGCGCCATCTAACGTCATTGGGTAAAATCATCTATAGCGCTGGACAAACTACTGTTTTTGACGTTCGTAAATATTCATGCGGGGGAAGCCGTGAAACGCCATCTATCAACATGATATTTAACGGGGGTAAGACAAGGTCCACGCGTACCACAGAATCGTCGATTCCATGCTCTGTGACGCGTACGAAGTCGCGGGCGTCCGCTAGTAAAAAATAAGATAAGTCACATGAGCCTACAATACAACATCGTTTGAATATTCATATTAAAAACATATCTCACCCAGAATGTAACCCACGGTCACTGTCAACCGAAAACATGAACAGTTTATCGTTTGGCAATTTATTTATTCATAATTACCGGCAGATGTGTTATTTTTTCAGTTTTTCCATCAATAACGGTGTCAGCGCTGTGATTGACAACTATTCACGATCCGTCAAACATCTTATTATCGGATTGCCGGCGCGTGCGCATTTTGGGGTGATTTCCCCATTTTGGGGAATCCAAATCTCGAAATAATAAGCTTTGTTGCCGTTTTTGCGCTTTTTGTGTGGAATTACGTAATTATAGGATTAGAAGGGTATTATGTTAACCCTATTTTCGTATTTTGTGGAGCTTTTGTATAAATGGTAATAAAGTTAAGAGAAATTAAAGTAAATACGTATCTGAATTCCAATCCTTCTTTGGAGGTGCGCGCTAAATGATACCACTCATACGTAAGTTGGGTAAAAAGGGTGATTCATAACAATGTTACTAACTCAAGATAAGAATTCTCTCGTACTTATCAGTTGTATCCAGTTAAAACTCGCTATCTATCTAGTTATCAGTTGTGACCTGGTCACTGACTCGCCACTAATCTTAACCTGTTAATGAGGTTAGGGCTCAAATGACCAATGCATATTTTTAATGAGAGTTTAACTATTAACAACCGTGGTTAGGGATTGAAATGCCACTGGGGCATGTGATTCTGCATAAGAACTCGTAGGTACTAAAAGTAAGTATTTTTTCCCTTTTATCCTATGTTTATCCCTTTTCTAGACGATACGAGAACACCCCTCCTTATTAAAAAAAAGTATTTGATGTGATTCAGGTTTTATAATGAAGATACAGTCTACAGCACATCACATTAAACATTTTTGTCGCAATATAACCTGTAGTACAACGAAATAAGACGCTCGCCATTTTGTTTCGCTGGATGTGCCATTGTGAGTACCATAATAATATAAATCATTCAAGAATACTCATGGAAAGGTTAGAAAGGGTTAACTCTGAACTCTACAATTTAATCAAACTTGACACAGACCAGTTAATAGTTTGCAACCGCTGTACCTACTCACATCGCGATGGGGAACAATTCAAACAACAAATGCGTTAGTTTGTTTCTAATTCTATTCGTGCATCAAATATCAACCCTCAGTGATGTTGACGAACAGTGTGTGAACAAAAAAACCAACAAAGTATTATTCAACAGTGAATTGATGCTTGGACAATGGTTCAAGGTTGTGTCTTTCACTCCATCTCTCGATTTTCGGACCGAGTACTGCAATAGGATCAACTTTACTAAGCCAACTCAAGAAGAAATGGCCAGCTACAAGCAAAAGTATAACAACCAATCGGCGCCTTATAATATCGATGAGAATCCAGTAAGAGTTAAAGACTCTAGCACTCTAATTGATGGTATGATAGTTGGAGGTACGAGAGCCAAATTTTACTTATTGGATCCTAAATCAGTGTTAGGTGATATCGATGGGTATGTCGCTCAGGTTTACCGACCGATTAACGAAAAATTCGTGTTGACTTACGACTGTAGACTGCGGTTAAATTTCATAGATTTGCTGAGCAGAGAAAAGATACCGAAAGAAGAAGAGCTGAAGGCTGCAATCGCGAAGGTCAAGAATTTGAAGAAAATGGGACGGTATAGATTTTGCGCCCCTCCCCTGCCTGTGGAAAAGTTTGATATAGAACTATAGACTTCATAATAATACTTGTAGCAGATAAACGAACAGAGAAATCAAGAGTAGCTGTAATTTTCAGAAAGAACAGTATAAAAAGTGGGATAACTCTAAAAACATAGTAGGGTAAACCAGAGAGTGATTGCCCACTGGTAGTGATTGCCCGCTTTAAGAATAATATTGTCAGGAGCTGACTTTGAATCACTCTAGTTAGATTTGAATTTACTAAGTAGATGGCTCCGAGATCAATGTACAGTAGATTTAAAATTTACAATAGGAAACACTAAAAAAAACAGTTATGACGGATTTTGTCAAGACGGGTGAAAATGTTACTCAAACAGGTAAAGACTTTAACAATTTTACTAAGGAATTACTTTCTTAGAGGTTAAATTTTTTTTGCAAGTTATTTAATATTCAACTAATGGTGTATAGTTATGATGAAATTATAAGTGTTTCCTCTTTTGTCAATGAAAATAACTGATAAAATTTGATTTCTAACGGTCATTTTAACGGTGGGTAATCACTGCACGTAAATCTGTATATTTTTAGTTATTGCCCACCATCATTTCAGTTATTGCCATATGTTAATGTATAGTTATTGCCCAGGGCAATTATTATTAGAGTGTTGCCACCATGCAGTAGCAGTGTTTAAGTTGCTCATTGCTAGACTTGTTTTGCAATTTACAGGCATAAATATTGAAATGGCTTTTAATGTTTCATTTTCAGTATGCCAAAGACTCCAAAAGTTCAATATAGCATAGAAAATTTGCAAAAAGCGATCGAAGCTGTACAAGATGTATCCAACAATTTATCTACAAGATAAATTGCTGAAAAATATGGTTTGGCTTGAAAAAATTGATAAAAATTCAAACGCAAATACAAAAAATGAAAATCCTACGTTAAATCTACTAGTGAAAATGTTAATTGTAAGGAAATAGATACAACTTTAGGGAAGAATAACCAACAGCTAATTGAACATTCTGAGCAACCACTTGAACTGATATCAAAGAAGATAAAAAAATAAATACATATAAAATTTACATATAAAATTCAAATTTTTGCGTCATCTATGTTTTGAAGTAGATGATTCTGTCTCTACCGATTCTGACTCATCAACATCAGCTCAAGAAATATTTGATAATATGTTAATAAGGCCAAACGCAATTTATTTTGAAATTTTGAAGACTGTACTACTAGAATTTAAGTTTAATGTTTTGTTTTGTTTATTTAAAGCCTATTTTGTCATTTTAAAATTGATTATTTTGTTTTAAGATACTGGGCAATTACTGTGCTTTGATGTGGGCAATTAGTGTAAGTAATGGGCAATGACTGTACTTTTTGGAGGATTTTAAATTTATTTCAATATTTTCTAAGTTACGTAAGTTTTAACTAAAAACTGTTAATATTCTGTTTAACAGTTTATTGAGTTATAAGAAAAAAGTCATAAATGGTCGATAATTATAGTACTTTCTTTAATTTTTCATCTTCATGTGTTTGAAATCTTTAAGTGGGCAATAGCTATACGGTTTACCCTACCTATTTTATCTGACTAGCAAATTGATAACGTATACAGTGGTTTCTAGATTAACTAGTATTAATAATTTTGTACATAAAGTTCCATTTGAAAATAGATTATTAATAATTAATTTCCGAGCATTTTTAATAAAAAAAGTCTCTAATTACATTCACTAATTAATTAGTTAATTTGACGAATATAAACAAAATAATTCCCATAACTTCCAACCTCAAGGTTCAGATCCAAATATTATGTAAATACTATAGTTCTGCAATCATAACCTGTATAAACATTTTCACCACCTTATTCTCTACCATTCTCGTGCGTCTTCCTTATTTTTTTCAAAAAGAGCTGAAAATCAGTGTTCTGCTCATTTTTAGAGCAGTGTCTATGTTACAGGAAATGTATGAAATCCGTCATTGTATACAATTCCTAGGAATTGTGTATAAGTCCTAAAATCACCCGGAAATGTATGATGGTAATTATATTAGACACATTTCCTAGGAAAATTACACATTTCCTAAACATCAATCGGAAATGTAATTAAGATATTTTTTTTACACAAAATTTTTTTTATTACGCCACTTTTTGTTCCCCGAAACTTAAATGGCGCGCCGCGGCAGCTGTGTATGTGTAAGGTCGCAAGTCTAACCTAACCTAACCGAGACTTTGTTATCCAGCTACAGGAGTACTAAAACCTTCATGCCAATAATAGTTTAATAAAAGATATGTTAAAATTAGGGATTTCCAATACTTCAGCGTAATATGCGTGATGCCGAAAGAAAGGTATGCCAATAAATTTTAGGCAAATATTTTTTTCGACCAAAGTATAATAGTGCGAAAACAACTGTCAAACTAAACAATAATAATTATGAGTTAAAAGTACCTATCGGCCAATGTGGTTTGGCTAAATGAACTTTTAGCCATACTGAGGGGCACCCGATCACGCGACCGCGCTTGTGCCGCTTAGTTTTATACATTTCCTAATACAATATTGGAATTCTATAAAATCCCTAGGAAAAGTATACATTTCCTAGGATATGTGCGTATTAAAAAATCTCTGAAGCAATATTTTATACATTTCCTAAGTAGCTTCGGAATAGTATACATTTCCTAGGAATAGTATACAATTCCTAGAATTCATACATTTCCTGTAACATCTACACTGAGCTCTCTGCTTTTTTGCATCGCTGCGGCACACAGGATTTTCTTTTTTGCTCCCTGTAATGTCTTTCCTGCTACTCCTGTGTTTATTAATCTAACAGTTAGGTTAGGTTAGATTCTAACTATTTGCTTCTTATGTGTCAATGTGTTTTGCAAATAAACCATATATCTATCTATTTAAATATAGAATGTTCCAAAATTAAGTGCCACGTGTACTTTACATTTACCTTATACAGATGCGGCAATAAATACACATCAGGTGACGGGCTCTTCCTCGCATAAATTTCGTCGCTCGCGATGTCATACATATTCTTGAGTCTGGGGTATTTTTGGACCTACTACATCCTTTGTATTTTTACCAGTTAAAGGGGATGCACGTTCTGCAAATATTTTTTCGCCGCACACTAACGCCCATCTTTTCTAAAATGCGCATAATTTTTCTGACGTCTATAAATATTTGAGTGCTAGCTGAATTCAGATATTTTTTTGATTCTCACAAAAATAAATAAAATAAAGATATAGTCAGATGATATTTGAGAGAAATTAAGGCAGTATGATATTATTATGACAAATAAAATTCATTCAATAATCTGACGGTTATCATTTTCTATAGAGTTCAAACAATTGTCTCATAAATACAACACATACCTACATCTTGGATCCAAGTATCAAAACATAGCTCTCACAGATGGCAACACTGCTCGCTCAATCGATAAGTATCGTCTGAGCTAGCTCGAGAAAAAGGCTCAACACCTACCACCGTTTGTTCTGTCCGCGCGTAAACAACGTTGTCTATTCGCCTGGGGGTAGTTGGGCCATAGAGCGGGCATTATTTATTTTAAATCTAAGGGACATACATTACGGTTTCTAAGCCTTGTCGCAGACCATCGATTTTTCGTCGGCCGATAGTTTAGTCGGGCAGTTGATCAGTATGGGCATGTATAGAAGTGCGCACATTACACCGATTTGATTTGGCCGATTCTTCATACAATTTAAAATCGGGCACAACTATCGGCCAACTAAAAATCGATGGTCTGCGCCTAGTCTAAAAGTAAGTAACGGCAATTTGTGCGATGCCTTACACTGTAAAGAGAAAAACAACAAAGAAGATTTTCTCATATTTTAAAACTCCAATAGCAAGTGAGAAGCAATCGAGACCCAGAAATGTACAATTTCGACACCAATTACAAACTTATAACGTTCTTGTAACTCTCCTATAAGAACAATTCTATCACTAATTTAAGAGATCATTGGAGTTACTTAAATTACTATTCAATGAATTAATGAACATTTTATTTAAAAGTTATTATTTGGAGAATTTTAAGAATCTAATAGCAGCCCTATTAGAATCTTATAAGATGGTTTTATCTTTGTTCTTGTGTCGATAATTATCAACATTAAACATTATTTCAACACTCCTATTTAGTGGCCCAACACTGAAGGTAAGCTCAGGCTTAAGGCGATTAGAGTCCTCAATGACCTTGGGCGTTTGACCTTCACGCCGCGCGAAACACCCGCGCACCCCGCACGAAAACTCCGATTTGACACCGATCAAAATTACACGGGCATAGGTAGATACAGAATAGAAGCTCTTTTTTCATGACATTACTGCCTATTATTTTAAACTTGAATTGATGAACTTTGATGTCGGTGTCATTTAACTCAGGCCTAAAGGTATTTAATAAAAATAACACAATCCATGAACATTTTGTAAGGGATATTTTTTTATTATATTGAATTTTTTCGTGAATTTTCTAATATTTTTGTCGGTTCAGCCGTTCTCGAAATTTGAACATGTAATATGTAGGTAACTTCGGGTGGAATTTTGCAAGCTGAATTTGTTAGACCAACTTCCTGACGCCAACTGTAGGTATTGGAACACATAGTAGTATTGTCTATGGTTTAAAAAAGCAAATGTTTCTTCTTTTGTCTATTGTCATTCTCTTTGTGTCACTTATGAAGAATAAACTGAAAATGTGTTTAATCTCGTATTTTTATTAGAAATCATTCAACAGCTAATTGAGTTAAAATTTTGGATATAGCTACTTACATGTAATTCGGATGACAATGCAATATTGTGATGACATGGAGTCGATCTGATGATAGAGCTGGAATGCCAGTGGCCCCATAGCAACTTAGGCTCGTTTGATTTGTATTTATTTATTTATACAGGGTGACTTTGTTATCAGTATCCAAATTTTTTTAATTATCTTGTTAGAACAATTTGACAATACAACTTTATCGTAATTATTTTTAATTGTGGTATTTTTCGCAAAAAAAAAATTGAAAGTCTAATTCGCGGGTGCCCATATCTTAAGTTTTAAAGGTTATTGCTTATTTTCGCTCACCATTATGTCTATTAAGCTTTGCAGTTAACTGTGTGTACATTTTTTTTCATGAACAAAGCAAA